AAGGAGAAAGAGACAGAAACATCTATGAGAGAGAAACATCAACATCCATTGGCTGCTGCCTGCACACCCTCCAATGGGGACTGAGCCCACAATCAAACCAGTGACTTGGTACATGGGTCGACATTCAACCACTGGGTCACACTGGTTGGGCCCCCTTTTCCCATATCCTCACCCACACTTGTTGTTTGCTGATTTATTGATGATAGCCATTCTGAAAGGTGTGAGATGAGATCTCATTTGGTTTTAATTTGCATTTCTCTGATGACTAGTGACGCCATAAGGTTTCACTTATATGTGGAATCTAAAAAACAAAATAAATGAACAACCAAAACAGAAACAAACTCATAAATAGAGCAAATTGATGGGTTGCCAGGTGGGTCAAAATGGTGAAGGGATAAAGAAGTAAAAATTGGGCCTGGCTGGTGTGACTCAGTGGTTGAGTGTTGACCTATGGACCAGGAGGTCTCCGTTTGGTATTTACAAAGCAGTCATGTGGATGTAAAGTACAGCATAGGGAATATAGTCAGTAATATTATAATAACTATGTATTGTGCCAGGTGGGTACCAGACTTATCAGGGGGATCACTTTGTAAATTATACAAATGCCTAACCACTAGGCTGTATACTTGAAACTAATATAAAATATTGAATGTCAACTGTAATTGAAAATAAAAATTAATTTTAAAAAATGGATAAAAAACTGAATGGATAAACAAAATGACATATATATATATATATATATATATATATATATATAATGGAATGTTATGCTAGGTGAAATAAACCAATCACAAAAGAATAAATACCGTATGATTCCCCTTATATGAGGTACATAGAATAATCAAGTTCACAGAGAGAGAAAGAATAATGTCGTTACCGGGGGCTGGGGTAATGAGGAGTCAGTGTTAAATGAGAATGGGTACAGAGATTCAGTTTTTCTTTCCTCCCTCCCCGCCTCCCTCCCTCCCTCCCTCCCTCCCTCCCTCCCTCCCTCCCTCCCTTCCTTCCTCCTTTCTTTCTTTCTATTTTAATTTTTTTTGTTTATCTTTGCCTGAGGATATCTTTCCATTGATTTTTAGGGAGAATGGAAGAGTGAGGGAGAAAGACAGAGCGAAACATCGATGTGAGAGAAACACATCGATTGGTCGCCTCCAGCACGAGCCCTGACCAGGGCCTGGGTTGGGGAGGAGCCTGCAACTGAGGTACGTGCCCCTGACTGGAATTGAACCCTGGACCCTTGCAGGCCGATGCTTTATCCACTGAGCCAAACCAGCCAGGGCAGATTCAGTTTTTCAAAATGAAAAATATTCTGTGGGTGGATGTTGGCGATGGTTGCACATTAGTGTGAATATACTTCATGTCACTGAAATGTACAATTTAAAATGGTTAAGGTAGCCCAGCCAGTGTTGCTCAGTGGTTGAGTGTCAACCTGTAAACCAGGAGGTTTGATCCCCAGTCAGGGCACATGCCCAGGTTGCGGGCTTGATCCCTAGTAGGGGGTGTGCAAGAGGCAGCTGATCAATGATTCGCCATCATTGATGTTTGTATCTCTCTCTCCCTTTCCTTTCCTCTCCGAAATCAATAAAAAGGTATATTTAAAAAAATGGTTAAGCTTGTAAATTTTATGTGTATTTTACCACAGTAAAAAATATGTATCCTGAATCTGACCACTTCCCACCAACTTCACCGGTACCACCCTTAACCAAGGCTCTTCACCTTGTGTCCTGATTCCTGTCAGAGCCTTCCAGCTCGTCTCAGCTTCTATTCTTGCCACTCTCTAGTCAAGCATTGCCCAAGAGAAATATCATGATAGCCCATATATAATTTAAAATTTTCTAGTTAAAAAACATTAAAAAACAATAAATTGGAATGGTTGGGTGCAGGCCAGAAGGGGTCAATGGGGAAAAATAGGGGAAATCTGCAATACTTTCAAAAATAAAGATAAATAAAAAAACAACAAATTGGTGAGATATATTTTATTTAATACAATATAGCCAAAATATTACCATTTCAACATGGAATATAAAAATTATAGATATCTTACATTCTCATTTTCATACTAAATCTTCAATGTCTGGTGTGTAGTTTATGCTTCAGCACATTTCAATTTGGACTAACTGCATTTCAGTGCCAACAGCCACATGTGGCTGCTGTGACAGCTGTGCCTATAAGCATTCTCAACACGACGGTCAGAGTAATTCTATTAAAACATAAACAGATTGTGTCCCTCTTTTTGACAAAACTCTCCAACAGCTTCTCTTCTCACTCAGAGTCAAAGCTAAAGTGCCTGTGAGGCCCCTGTGCTGGCTTCACGTGCTCCAGCTTCCTGCTTCCTCTCTCTCTCACTCCTCCACTGGTCTCCGCTAGTTTTAGGAGCTTTGCCCAGCTGTCTGGCCTCTAGACTGGCTTCTCTTCTTTTAGTTTCCTGCTCAAATGCCACCTGACCCCCACTATCCCCTGGCACTCCTAATCCCTTTTTATCCTGATTTATTTTTATCGATGGCCCTTATCACCACCTAACACTCTGGGTGCTTATTTGCTTACTGTCTCTCTCACTAGAATATGAGCTCTAAGAGGACATGAATTCGTCTACTCTGTTCATTCTCTATTCCTGGTGCCTAGAATAGCACTCGGTACCTATGAGGAATGCAGTAAAAACGAGCTGGATGAATGAATGGTGAGCTCGGAAGGGGCCATGGGGTCTGCTCACTCTGGCCATCAGGCCCTATCATGAGTGGTGCTGGACCTCATGAAGGCAGCTCAGAATCCCTGCTCACGTCCCTTTCACCCACCCAACCTTAGTCAGATCAAGCCCAACCTCCTCTAAGAAACCTTTCTTAATGTCTCTACTGGACACTGATTCTGCCGGGCCCCTCCCACCCTCAATAACTCACTGAGCATCGATTACAGGGGTGGAAAATATACAGGCCTCCATGGGACGGCCCAGGCGGGCTCTGGCTAGCTGCGGGCACATGCTGCCGCCAGCTCCAGTGCCCCTCAGTGGGAATGTGGCCTGTAATGGCAGGGCTGCTGATCTAATGGACTCTTGTCACCAGGAAGTGCGTAATTTCAGAAAGACCAACAGCACATACAGCCTGTCACACCAGGAAGCAAGGAAACAATCAAACATGGCTATGGTTATGTCCAAAGAACATAAGCCAAATTGAATAAGCTTCCTCTGGGCACAGATGGACTTAGGGTAATTTCTGTCATGGATTGAAACACATCAAGTTGCTTAAATCTGCAAGTTCATAATTATACTAAAAACTAAACATAAAAAACAAACTGATCACATTTAGAGGATATTAGACGAACAACTCATTATTATTTTTTAATTGTTGTTAATCCTTACCCGAAGATTTGTCTATTGATTTTTAGAGAGAGTGGAAGGAAGGGAGGAAGGAGGGGGGCTTGGAAGGGGGGGAGAGAGACTGAGAGAGAGAGAACACTGCTGTGAGGGAGACACATCGACTGGTGGCCTCCTTCACACACCCCGACGGGCTGGGGACCAAACCTGCGACTCAGGTACATGTCCTTGACTGACTGGGAATTGAACCTGTGACCCTTCGGCTCATGGGTCCACAGTCAAAACCACTGAGCAACACCAGCCAGAGTCCAACTCATCATTTTATCTTATTTTTAAAATAAGTTTTTATTGATTTTGGAGAGAGAGCCAGGGAGAGACAGAAACATCAAAGAGAGAAAAACATCATCGATTGGCTGCCTCCTGCACACCCCTCCTGGGGATCAAGCCCACAACCCAGGCATGTGCCCTGAAGAGGAATCAAACTGGTGACCTCTTGGTGCATGGGTCGATGCTCAACCACTGAACCACACTAGCCGGGCCCAACTCATCATTGTAACTGGTGAAGAACAGGAAAGAGTAAGATTTATTTTCCCTTTTGTATATGAACTGTGCCTCAGGGTCCCTAAAAAATTGATGAGGGAAAATTTCCTTTACAGGATTATTCCAGTTGACAAACAGAAGGGATGACAGAATTGGAGTGCTGCCATCCTGCAATCCCTAATGAATGAGTGGATCTAGGCGAACCTAACAGCACACGACAAGAAGACCCGGTGTCGTATATCTCTTGGTGGAAGTACCCATCACCTCAATCCTTCCTATGAGAAGACTTGCCCCCCAAACACAAACAATGGAACCTGAATTTGTTCTGGATTTTACTACTCAACCACCAACTTACAGGAAATAGGAGAATGCAGTCAATGAAAACCACTTGGAGAAGCTACAGCACAAATGACCCAAATTCCATAAAAAAATACTGAGAGAGAGAGAGAGGGAGAGAAAGAGAGAGAGAGAGAGAGAGAGAGAGAGAGAGAGAGAGAGAGAGAGAAATCTATAGATAAAAAGGAGTTTAAAAGATGTATTAACTAAGCGTGATATGTGACCTATGTGTACTTCAATTCCAATAATTAAACTGTAAAAAGCACATCTGCATTTGGGGAAAGGTGAATACAAGTATTTCATATTCAGGAATGCTTGTGAATTACGTTGATATAATAATTGCAGTTAAGTTTTTAAAAGGGGGTCGGGGATCGAACCTGTGACCCCTTCCTTCAGTCCACCAGCTGACACTCTAACCACTTAGCAAACCAGCCAGGGCAAAGGGGGTCTTATATTGTAGGAATCTCAGGCTGAAAGACTGACGGGAGAAGCACCAGGTAAATGAACAGTGTGGCCCTCAGTGCAGCACAGGCTCACAGGGAGGCAGGTCCAGCCAGCAAAGGCCTCTCCTGTGCGGTGGGACTTGAGGTGGGCGGGGTGGGGACGCTCAGGACTGGGGTGTGTGTGACGTGGTGCAGAGGCCTGTGACGTCAGGTAGCGCATGGTGGCTGCACACCTGAGACCACCAAGGTGGGTCAGGCTCTCCACCCCACGCCCAGCAGGGACCCTCCCTGCCCAGGCCCATGGCAGGCACCACAGCACTGCCTGGCTCCTCTCCTGGCCCCGACCCCCACCCCGCCCAACAGCGCCCTCTCACCTCTGGGGCTGGATCCATGACGCTGGCTTTCCTTCCTGCGCTGTTGTCGCCTGGCTGCTTAGATGATGTTTTCAGGAGGAAGTCAGCAATCTTCTCAACCAAGAAATCGCGGTCTTTAAGGTTGGCAAACAGGAAGGTCATTTTGTTCTTGGTGCTAATAGACAAAGGGCTGGGCAGGACACTGGAACTGTCGGCTTTTTCGACAATGGTCACCTGGGAGGGCAAAAACACTGGGTGTCTGTGTCTTGCCATATAAAGACAGAAAGGTTCTGTGACCGTGACAGCAAAGTGGCCTCAGGTGGCCCTCTCCGGGGAGGTGCGGTGAGTGAATGGGGGCACTCGGGCCCACTATGATCTGTTCCGACTCTGTTGCCTGCTGCTGTAAGTTCCATGCGCGTCTAAATCTCATTTTTCACCTATCAATCACACAGCCCCGCTGGCCTGTCATGAGGAGGGTGGGCCTAGCCACTGGCCCTTCTAAGTTTCCCACTGGCCAGTTCATCCCCTGCTCTAAAGCCTGGGGAGCAGCCTGCCTGCATGGCCGTCCTAAGCACTGGTTGCCAAAGTACCCGCTGACCGGCATGTCCGGGCCCGGCCGAGGAAGTGTGGACAGAGCTGCACAGGCATGGAGAGCACAGGGCAGGCTTCCAGGGGCGCCTCTGGCTCTACAGAGGCCTGGGGTAGGGACACACAATGGCCATGCAGGCTCAACACCCCAGGGTGGTGGAGGTGACAGAGCCAGCTGGGAGGCCACTGGGCTGCTTTTCACTGAAGGCTCTTCTGGGGAGGTAGCAGCTGAGCTGAGACCTGCTGCAGCCAGGTGAGGAGCCAGGCAGAGACCCAGAACCACACTGAGGAGGTGCTAGATTGGACTGATGGACAAGGAAAAGCTGGGGAAGCTGGGGTTGGGTAAGCAGGGGTGGGCAGGGCTGGTATGTGTATGCATACGTGTGAATGTATGTGTAAGAGTGTCTACGCATATGCACAGTACATGAGTGGGAGTACATGTGTATGCCTGTATATATATACAAACGTGTGTGCATGTTTGTGAGGCGTGTGTGTAGCATGTGTACATGTGTACAGATGTGGGTTGCTGTGTGTACATGTACCGGTATATGTGCATATGCATGCGAGTGCTCATGTGCATGGTTTGTATGTATACACAAGTGTGCATATGCATGTGAGTAGTGTTTATATGTGTGTGCGTGTGTGCGTGCCTGCACATGAACCGATATCTGAGGAGCAGACAGCTCACAGGTCCAGCAGGAGAAGATGCAGGAGGATTCCACACAGGGTGCCCACATGCTCTGACAGACAAGCATTGGCAGTTGTGCGAGGATGGGTCCTAAAGGGGTTAGGTATGTGTGGACACTCCTGAGGTCCAAGCAGATACTGGTGTCCTAGGTGGTGGCCGTGGAGAGGAAGGGACGTGCTATGGTCAAGATGCAGGAATGAGGCCAGGTCAGAATCAAGGTGGCTCCTGCGTTTCACCTGAGCAGACGGAAGGAAGGGGCGCCATTGCCTGGGTGGGGTGAGAAGAGCACGTTTGGATGTGCAAATTCAAGAGCGCAGCTGGCATTCAGGGAGGAGCCCTGTGAAGCCTCGCTGGCTGGGAGGCTTGGTGAGTGCTGGGCCAGGGCCTCCACCTGTCCAGCTGCAGAGCCCATCCTAAGAGCGCGATAAGACTGCCCTGCTAGCCACAGCTGGTGAGCTCAGTGGTTAGAGTGTTGGCCTCTGGACTGAAGGGTCCAGGGTTCGATTTTGGTCAAGGGCACGTTCCTCGGTTGCAGGTTCAGTCCCTGGCCGGGTGCGTGTACATGTGCGGGAGGCAACCAATTGATGTGTCTCTCTAGCATTGATGTTTCTCTCTGTCCCTCCCCCTCCCTTCCATTCTCTCTAAAAAAAAAAAAAAAAAAAAAAAAAAAGTGGAAAAAAATATCCTCAGGTGAGGGTTAACCAAAAAAAAAAGGGAAAAAAGATCAGGACAAGGCAGTCCTGCTCCCCGACACAGCGGGCAGCCAGTACTCTGAGCTGGGACCTCAGGAAACCCTTAAGCCGGCCCCCAGGCCTTGGCACGTCAGGATGAACCCATGGCCTGGTGCCAAAGAGCGTAGCCACCTCGGAGCCCCTCAGCCTGGAGCTGTGGCTCTTTTTAGTCCTCTGCCTGACTTTCCTTGGGGACCCCAGGCAGCATGCTAACCAACACCTTTCATAGCTACACCTGTAGCCCTCAGGCTTTGTACAAACGCCAGCAAGGTCTCACTGCTCTAGGTTTTTAACTAAATCAGAATACTGTGATGTAGGTTATAACTTAAAAACCTCACTGTGCTTCAGCCAGTTTGCTCCGCTGGGCCAAGAGAGAAAGGGGGCTCTGAGACCTGCCTGATAGTGGGGCCAGTGCCTTCGTGCCTTCATCTGGGCGGGGCCTCTCTCCCTCACTGTCCACATTTCTCACTGCAGTCAAAGGAGAACAGGTCTCCACCTCTTACAAGTGACAGTCAGCTCTCAATGACGCTGCTAGAGCTGGAGCCACAGCCCAGGCAGACGTCAGAAAGGAACAGTGAGGCGGCCTCTGAGAATGACATGGCGGGGTTGATGCAGGGTCAGCATCCTCCGAGCCCAGCCCAGCAGGGCTTTGCCACAGCCCCACTGCAGTCTGGGAAGGCAGGACTGAGGGGCATTCCCAGCAGAAAGGCTTGGATCCTTCCTGAAGTTTCCTTAGGTACTAGAGTGAGCTCTCCTGGCCAAAGCCCCACTCCGTCTGCCCACGAGGCCAGTGACCCCTGGGGACCAATCCTGTGCAGCCACTCTCAAGAGGCCTGCACAGGCAGGTGCTGACTCACCACGTGTCCATCACTGAATGCTGAGGGGCCAACCAGGAGAGGCAGGGCAGAGCTGGTGGGGCCGGGTGCTCACCTCCCGCAGGGGTATGATGAGGTGGCAGCCGTCCTCCTCCTTGCTGGCAAAGCAGATGTAGTTGCTGGAGATGAACATCTGGCCGGGGATGTGCAGCTTGTTGAACGGAGTCCACAGGGTGCAGCTTGTGTGGCCGTCCAGGCGTTCGTCCCTGGGCAGCCGGAACATGGCCCGGTAGTACTCGTTCTTGGCTCGTGCGTCTAGGTCTCTGGGGATGGGAGGGGAGGGGACAAAATTTGGGTTTTCAAATTGGATTTGGGCTCTTTGGCCTCCTCCTGTGAGCAAGTCATGCCCAGGGATCTCAGAGTTCTGTGAAACATGCACCTTAAGTGGCCAAGTAAAATGTGGGACATTCGTATGCCCAGCAGGGGAGTGGTCAGAAAACAGCATGTCCCTGAGACTTGCCAGCTCTGGGAGGACACCTGGAGGCTCCGGGGTGTGGCTCGTTGCTTGCCCAGGGGGTTCCGAATCCATCCTGCTGCTTCTGACTAGAAAGACCCAGACCATCTAGAAACCTAGACAAGGGCCTCCCGACAGGCACGATGCTGTTGCTTGGTATAAAGTGCACACTCGCCCGGCCCATGGCTGTGCAAGGTGGGGGCCTGGCACCCTGCTCCTCCCCCGTGGTGGCTTTGTCCTGGGGACAGTCCAGTAGCCTGAGCAGGGCCCGGCAAGCACACCCTGATGGACAGCGCCAGGGACTGTCATGTCCTGGCCCTGCTCGTTTTCTTTCCAGAAGGTTCCAAAAGACACCCTGTCACTTGTATCAGGAGAGTGACATCTTTTGACAGTATTCTGGTCCTAAAGGCACACCCGATTCTGGGCTTAGGCCATGGTATCTGAGCACGCGGGTGTGAACTGGCTGTGGGACCCAGGGGCTCCCGGGCAGCCTTGCGGGTGTCCTGTGAAGCTACAATGGAGTCAAACAGAAGTGCTCCGGAGGGGCTGGCCACCAGTATCTGCCCTTTTGTCTACCAATTCCCACAGAGTGGCAGAGACCTCAAACCTCTAGGCCAGGGCCCCAAAGCTATAACAATGCAGAGGGTATGAGGGGCCACTGGCCAAGGGGTACGGAGAAGAGCTGTCAATCTTGGTGGGGTGGAGGTAGTGAGCCCTGGGACCTGATCGCCGAAGCCATCCAGAGCGGCCTCTGGGGGCACCCTGGCTGAGTTGGTGGGGAGGACAGGCTGTCAACAGTTGCATCTGGCTTTCCTGCTCACCTGCTGAGGGACGTTGGGCAAGTTACTCAACCTCTGTGCCTCAGCTTCCTGTCGAGACTAAGGAGTGTGTGAGACCTCCCCATCACAGGCTGGGAGAAGGAATGTGCCTCTTAGGACAAACCTCTCTCGAATCTCTCGGTGCCCCCCCTGCAGCTACACCTTTACCTCCCCTTCCCGAGTGGCCCCCACTCGGCCACGCACCGCTTCAGAGCAGAGATGTTCCTGTGCGGCTGGGCAGGCCTGGGCGGCGCCTTGTCCTCCAGGAAGCCCTCGTTGTCCAGCAGCTGCCGCATGGCCAGGTTGGCCAGCTGCTCCATGAGCTTGAAGGTCTCGCCAATGTTGAGGAACATGGAGAAGAAGAGCTCCTGGTCTCGGGTGTCCACGCGAATGCTCTCGGGGAAGAGCAGGGTGGCGTTCTTCTCTAGTCCGGTGACATCCACCCACTGCACCACTAGGCTCACTGGACGCCGGTGGGGACAGACACACCACCACTGGGTCAAATGGGCTGGAGGGTTAGGCAGGGCGGGCTCCCGCTTCCCACCGCACTGGGGGAAACTGTACTGAGCAAGCCCCCCTCCCCCCTGCCCCGCCCTCCCTCGCGCCTGAGCCTAGCTGTGCTGGGACGCACTCCACATGGAAAGGCAGGGCCACGGGGACGGATGAAGCCCTGGAGGCTCCTTCTGGGGTAAGGCGCAGTGCAGGCACCGGCTAGCTCTGGGGAGTCTGCCTTGTGTCCTGAGGCCAGGGCTTTCCCCAGGGAGGGACTTGCAACACCAGGGCACAGAGTCACCTAGAGCCCCTCACGGACACGTGTGCCCTTGAACACTTGCCCTAAAAGAGGCCCCATGCAGAAAGTCACTATGTGAAAAACCCTATCAGCGGACACAGGCAGGACAGGAGTCCCCGAGAGCCCAGTGTGTGCCTGGCTCAAGTTTGGGTGCTCCTGTCATAGGGTGCTGAGGTGGCACTTGGTTTTGGGGAGACGACCTGTTGGATGTGTGGGGACAGAATATCTGGGGGCTGAGAGGAAGGAGATCCCTCACGGACTTGGATAGTCTGGAAAGGTAATGGACTTTCTAGAGGTGAGGTCAGGAGGTGAGGGCCAAAGAGCTGAGGAAGACGGGGCCAGCTGGGTAGCCGGGGGGATGCCAGGGCGCCCACGCTCACCTTCCTTGCCCAGCAGGAAGGAGTAGAAGCACAGGTGATTGACAGTCAGGTAGAGCCAGCCCTGCCTGGGCACACGGCCCTTCCAGTAGCTACAGGAGTAGTAGTTGACTAGCTTCTCCCCCTCGGGCATCCCGAACTGCTTCCGCATCTTCAGCTCAGCTTCCTTGAACTTCCCGGGGTCCTCATCGCCCTGGGGCTGCAGGTTCTTGTTCTCTTCAGCTATGATGCCCTGCAAGAGAACAAGGGGACTGGTACCTGTGGCCCAGGGTTCCCACGGCCAAGACAGGCAGAGGCTGGCACAGGGAGGCCCGAGGATTCAGGTGGCGGCACCGAGGATGCTGGCCTAAAGGCCACAGGCTGGGCTAGGCCCGTCGGCTGCTCTGGCAGAGCGTGGTCAGACCGATGCTGCCCGTGTGACTGGCACGCTCCCCTAACTCCCTGAACTACTATGGCAGAGCAGTGACTTTTTACATAAACATTTAATTTTATGTAACATTTCTAAAAAGTGTATCAGTAAAAAATACACAGAGAAGAGCATATTTCGTGAACAGGGACTCTGCCTCTTACTCCACAGCCACTTTCCTGGTCTCCTTCCAGACATGCAGGCATTGATGGTCCCCCTTTCAGCACACACGTGCCGTTCTCCTTCCCGCATTCTTACCTGAATGGCATCGTGCAGTGACTGTTCTGTGAGGTGCTTTCCTTATGATGATGTCTTGGGGAAGTCCTGTATTTGATCCCCCTCCCCACCCCACCCCACATGCCAGGGATTTCCTGCTTTTGCCCATGCCTACAGACCAGCCACAGGGCTCAGGGCACATCTATGCCAACTGCATCCTGCCTGAGTCTTTACTGGGCTCAGAGTGCCTGGAGATATCACTCTGGGCCACAGGGCCAGTTCAAGGCCAGTGCTTGTGGCCCCACCGGTGAGGTATGCTCTGATGCCCTCTCAGTAGAGCTGCACTGCAGTTGCCATGACTTCCATCTCTCTCAAGCTGCTTCTGGCGTTGCCCTGAACCGTTCCTATAGAAACTGGCTCTGGGAAATGGGTCTGGCAAAGCTCTCTCCTCATTATTAAGGTCCTGCTTTTGTCTCTGCTGCCCTGGATTCTACCTACTAGAAGCTCAAGGTGGGCTCTGGACAACCTGTGGGCCACCACTGGCTATCCTGCCCCTGGGGCCACTTTCCTGGGTCTCAGCCAGCAGCCGCTGCTCCACTCTCTCCAGCTGCACCTGGGTGACCCTGAATGCTCTCATTCTCCATTGGCCCCTACTTATGAGTAAGCCTCCCCACCAATGAGAATGAGCCAGTCTAGCTCAGGGCTAGGGCTTTATATTTATTGGCGGATATTGCTGGACTGTAAAAATCACTGAGTAAACTTTAAATTATTTTTTTAAAAAAATCTTTATTGTTCATATTACAGTTGTTCCTCTTTTTCCCCCCCATAGCTCCCCTCCACCTGGTTCCCACTCCACTCTCTGCCCTTACCCACCCCCCCCATGTCCTCATCCATAGGTGTACGATTTTTGTCCAGTCTCTTCCCGCACCCCCACACCCCTTTCCCCCCGAGAATTGTCAGTCCACTCCCTTTCTATGGCCCGATTCTATTATATTCACCAGTTTATTCTGTTCATCAGATTTTTTTATTCACTTGATTTTTAGATTTACTTGTTGGTAGATATGTATTTATTGCTTATAATTTTTATCTTTACCTTTTTCTTCTTCTTCCTCTTCATAAAGAATACCTTTCAGCATTTCATTAATACTGGTTTGGTGGTGATGAACTCCTTTAGCTTTTTCTTATCTGTGAAGCTCTTTATCTGACCTTCAATTCTGAATGATAGCTTTGCTGGATAAAGTAATCTTGGTTGCAGGTTCTTGCTATTCATCACTTTGAATATTTCTTGCCACTCCCTTTTGGTCTGTACAGTTTCTGTTGAGAAATCAGCTGACAATTGTATGGGTACTCCCTTGTAGGTAACTGTTTTTCTCTTGCTGCTTTTAAGATTCTCTCTTTGTCTTTTGCTCTTGGCATTTTAATTATGATGTGTCTTGGTGTGGTCCTCTTTGGATTCCTTTTGTTTGGGGTTCTCTGGACTTCCTGGATTTGTAAGTCTATTTCTTTCACCAGGTAGGGGAAGTTTTCTGTCATTATTTCTTCAAATAGGTTTTCAATATCTTGCTCTCTCTCTTCTTCTGGCACCCCCATAATTCAGATGTTGTTACGCTTGAAGTTGCCCCAGAGGCTCCTTACACCATCTTCATATTTTTGGATTCTTTTTTCTTTTTGTTTTTCCGGTTGGGTGTTCTTTACTTCTTCGTACTTCAAATCTTTGACTTGATTCTTGCGATCCTCTAGTCTGCTGTTGGATCTCTGTATAATTCTTTATTTCAGTCAGTGTATGCTTAATTTCTAGTTGGTCCTTTTTCATATCCTCGAGGGTCTCACTAGACTTATTGAGGGTCTTACTAAATTCATCAGCGGTTTCTAGAAAATTCTTGAAAAACCTTATAACTGTGGTTTTGAACTCTATATCCAGTAGTTTGCTTTCCTCCATTTCTGTCATTTGTGACCTGTTTCTTTGTCTCCACATTTTGGCTGCTTTCCTGTGTTGACAGAGTGGCTTTGTGTGCTAGGTGTCCTATAGGGCCCAGTGGCTCAGCCTCCCCAATTACCTGAGGTGGACACTCTTGGTGCACCCCTTTGTGGGCTGTGTGCACAGTGTTGTTGTAGTTAAGCCTTGACTGTAGTTGGTATCACTGGGAGGAATTGACCTCCAGGCCAATTGGCTGTGAGAATCAGCTGTGTCTATGGTGGGAGAACTTCTGTGCTGGAGACACCCTTATGGGACAAGACCTGCTTCAGTGGGGCTTTGGTGCTCACTGAGTCTGCTCCCTAAGTGTGTCCCTTATGGATCTGAGGAGTTGTAATCTGGATGGTTTCACTCTGACCACTGGGTACACTGGCTCTTGGATCTCTAAGGAGGTGCTAGTTTAGTCTCTGCCTGAGGCTACCCAGCAGGAGCTATGGAGAGATCTGCAGATTTCTCTTCTTTGTTTGGGGTTTGGAGGTGCCCAGATGAGGCCCAGCTGTGAAGCAATGCAAGCTGCTGTGGGGCCTTGGGCCTTCTTTTGGATGTCCTGAATCTCTCTGACCCAGCTGCAGTTTGTTAGGTAATTTTACAAAGGACATGCCCTGACCTGTCATTCATATGCAAAAGCCTCTGCACACAGCTTGGGTGAGGCGGGGTCTCAGGGAATCAACAGGGCAGGGCAAACAGCTATGGCTGATCATCAGCCCTGCCCTAAGAGGCCCCGGGTCTCAGTGTCCCGTGGTAATTGCTGCAAGCACCTCTGAGAGAAAGCCGCTCTCGAGTTCCGCCCGATGCCAGACAGTCCAGTTTCTCCCCGTATGAGTCTGGGTCCCCAAAGACTCGCCCAGAACTGGAGTTCAGAGCAGTTGGAAGCTTGTGTCTCCTTCCCAATTGAAAAAGACAACCGCGTCCTCAGTTGCCAGCCCTTTCCGCATGCGCTTCTGTACCTCTGCACTTTATTTCCGCACCTCCTCTGAGTCTCAGTGTGCTTTTCTCTTTCCTTCTAGTTTTAGAATTTTCACTCAGCCAGCCTTCCTGTGGTTCTGGATGATGTCCATTTTGTCTTTTAGTTGTATTTTTGAAGTGGTTGAGTGAGGCAACAATTTTAGGTGTTTACCTATGTTGCCATCTTGGTTTCTCTCTAAACTTTAAATTCTTGACTCCATGTCTTTCATAGTTTTAGGCATCTTCCTTCCTGAGTCTTGGTTTAACTTATATTATATTAGAGGTCCGGTGCACAAATTTGTGCACCAGTGGGGTCCCTAGGCCTGGCCTGCGGGATCGGACTGAAACCAGCTCTCCAATATCCCCCAAGGGGTCCTGGATTGTGAGAGGGCACAGGCCAGGCTAAAGGACCCCACCGGTGCACAATCAGGGCTGGGGAGGGATGTGGGAGGTTGGCCAGCCAGGGAGGGACTGCGGGAGGGCTCCAGGGCAAGTCCAGCCTGTCTTGCTCAGTCCCAATCGGCTGGACCCCAGCAGCAAGCTAACCTACCTGTCGGAGCATCTGCCCCCTGGTGATCAGTGCACGTCATAGTGAGTGGTTGAGCAGCCTTAGCATATCATTAGCATATTATGTTTTGATTGGTTGGACAGGACACTTAGCATATTGGGCTTTTATTATATAGGATGGTAGGTCAAATAATAGCCCCAAAGATGTCCACACCCCAACCCCCAGAACCTGGGAAAATGTGACCTCCTAGAGCAAAGGTGACTCTGTAGATGTGATTAAATAGGGTTCTGAGAGGGGCAGCTTATCCTGGATTATTTCGGTGGGCCCATTATAATCAAGGGTCACAGAGGGCACAAGATAGGGGGTGTGTGACTGATTGATTTGAAGATGCCACCCTGCTGGCACTCAAGATGAAGGAAGGGGTCAAGAACCAAGGAACACAAGTGAACCCTAAAAGCTGGAAAATGAACGCATTCTCTTGAGCCTCCAGAAAGAAGGGAGCCCTGCTGACACCTTGATTTTAGCTCATAAGACCCATTTCTTTTCTTTTTTTTAAAAAAAATTTTTTTATTGATTTCAGAGAGGAAGGGAGAGGGAGAGAGAGCTAGAAACATCAATGATGAGAGAGAATCGTTGATCGGCTGCCTCCTACTGGGGATTGAGCCCACAACCTGGGCATGTGCCCTTGACCAGAATCAAACCCAGGACCTTCAGTCTGCAGGCTGATGCTCTATCCACTGAGCCAAACCAGCTAGGACAAGACCCATTTCTGAGTTTGTGTTGTTTTGTGCACTAAGCTTGTGGTTAACTTGTTGAGGTAGTAATTGGAAATAAATGCCTAATAAAGTATCCATCTTGTCTACACTCTTTTTAAAAAATATATTTTTATTGATTTCGGAGAGGAAGGGAGAGGGAGAGAGAGATAGAAACATCAATGATGAGAGACTCATTGATTAGCTGCCTCCTGCACACCCTAGGCATGTGCTCTTGATTGCCTCCAACCCAGGCATGTGCCCTTGACCGGAATCAAACCTGGGGCCCTTCAGTCTGCAGGCTGACACTCTACCCACTGAGCAAAACCAGCCAGGGTTTGTCTACATTCTTAAATTTATTGGCTTAAAGCTATTTATAACATTATCTCTTTTTCTTTAAATTCTGCTTCTATATAGGTGCTTGTCACAGTTCCTCACAGGTGCTGCTCACAGACCTTCATGGCTGCTTGCTTAGAGGAGGCTCCTGCCGCCCTGGATCCCTCCACCATGGACTTGTGGGTTCTGTGGGGTCTGCTGCTCTTCCTATAGTTCCTTTGTTCTCTACGGAATTAACTTCTACCCTTTGTTGTTTCCTTCTTTCTAATTTCCTGGTTTCTCTGGAATTCTCACTTACTGAGTTAGACACTTGGCTCATTAATTTCTGCCCTTTGTTCTTTTATGTGAGGTTTAAGCCTTTACATTCTCTACTCTGTACTGCTTTGCATCAATTCTAAGATGCGGTAGTATTTCAATTATCATTCAGTTCTAAACTATTTTCTATTTTCCATTTCATCCCATGAGTCATTTAGAACCTCTTCTCCTATTTTGTAGATTGGTTTGTTTGAGTCTGGCATACAGGAAGCATTTAAAAATGTTGCTCTTATTGCCCTAGCCAGTTTGGCTTAGTGGACAGAGTGTTAGCCTGTGGACTGAAGGGTCCCAGGTTCGATTCTGGTCAAGGGTAAATGTCCAGATTATGGGTTTGATCCCCAGTAGGGGGTGTGTAGGAGGCAGCCGATCAATGATTCTCTCTCATCATTGATGTTTCTAGCTCTCTCTCCCTCTCTGAAATCAAAGAAATATTAAAAATAAATAAAAATGTTGCTGTTATTATCATTGTTAGAGTCTAGCTCTCTGCCTGTTTCCCTGGAGCTAGTAGGCAACACAGGTCCTGCCTTGAACTCCAAAGTGCCCAGAGAAGAGCTGAGGAGCTCTTTATGTCTTCTGCCACGTCTAAAAAGTTGTGGTGTAATAAAGTCACAAGGGCAAACTCAGCACCAGTAAGAGCCCTGCTAGGAATCTAACCTAAGGCAATAATGGAACAGAAAGGAAAACAAACATACATTCAGATAAATGCTCATTATCATGTTAATTACTCACAAGAGGAAACAATCTAAATATCATCATGGTATCTGGTTTTACATGTTGCTACAATTCTCATAATTATTATTTTGATAGCTGTAAGATAGTCCACTATGTACACCACCTGTGACTTACCCAGTGCCCCAAATGTAAGTGCTCAGCACAGGACTCACAGAGAAAGTGCCCAATAAATGCTCTGCTCTCATTTCATCACTCTTGTTCTGCAAAGGAGAGTGTGGCTGTTACCCTGACCATAGGTCTGGGGGTGCACTGCTCAGTCTTTTTGCGACAGTGTTGCAGGGACATCCTGACACATTTGCCATCCTATATAATAAACGCCTAAAATGCAAATTGTCCCCTCAGGTGGTCGTTTGACTGGGAGACCAGGAGTTTGACCGCTCACTATGACATGTGCTGACCACCAGGGGGTGGCATGGAACATGGTGGGTGTTGGTGACACAGCGCCAGGGCAGGGGGCTGTAACCTCTCGCTCGGCTACCTGGGGGTGGGGGTGATGGGGACAGAGGTGCGGTGAGAATGTGGGGTGTCCACCGAGTTTGCTCTCACTCCCCCGCTACCCTCCCCTGGGACGCCAGGGCTTGTGCACTGCTGGAGCTCCCACACTTAGGTACAGGGCCCTTGCACCTGCGTGTGCACGCGAGTGGCCTTTTCCGGTGAGCCAGGCCGCTGGGGCCGGTCGGGCTCCCTGTGGGTTCACACAGGAGCCGGTATGCGAGGCCGGCAGGAGAGAGTGCACTGCCCGTGTGGCTTCTGTGCGGTGCCACTGGGCAGCCCAGAGGCCCACACTGCGCCCCGGCCCGCAGCATCTGGCCGCGCTCACCGCATCCCTGTGTGGGGACACGGCTGCTGTGACCCAGGCAGAGGGGGGCGCATGGGGGCCCAGGTGCTGACCAGGGCCCAGAGGCCAGCTGGGAGCTCCCCTTCCATGCCAGACGCTCGCGCTCGATAGCAGGCCAGGCCTAGGGACCGCACCTGTGCACAAATTTCATGCACTGGGCCTCTAGTTCTGCACATATGAATAAATACACTGCAAGGTCAACTCCAAGGAATGACATTGCTGGGTCATGGGTCTGTGCATTTCTAAGTCATGTTAGTTTTAAAACACAAACATGCCTCCAACTATACTATCACCTCCAGCTTCCTCCTCTGCCAGCCAAGTTGCTGGCAGGCAGCTGTGGATCCATACACTTGCTCTTGGGCCCTTTGCGGGAATGGAAACTGCCCACTCAGTCACATTCCAGTGGCTGGTCAGGGGAAGATGGGCCTGCATGGGCAATCGGCTCAGCTGCCCCCTTGAACAGCAAGGGACTGGCAATGACACTCCGGTTTCACCTCTGTAAGCTGGGGATAAGACCAATGCTGTGTTGTTAAAATGAAGTAAGCTGGGCCGAGACCGGTTTGGCTCAGTGGATAGAGCGTCGGCCTGTGGACTGAAAGGTCCCAGGTTCGATTCCGGTCAAGGGCATGTACCTGGGTTGCGGGCACACCCCCGGTGGGGCATGTGCAGGAGGCGGCTGATCGATGTTTCTCTCTCATCGATGTTTCTGACTCTCTATCTCTCTCCCTTCCTCTCTGTAAAAAATCAATAAAATATATTTAAAAAAAAAAAAATGAAGTAAGCTGGCATACGTGCAGTGTCTTGCTAGGAATCTAACCTAAGGAACAGAAAGGAAAACACACATACATTCAGATAAACGTGTGTTGCCAGCACAGAGAAGAGAAAGTGAACCTTACGTGTATCTTGCCCTTGACGAAAGTGGTGATATCTTCCTCACTGTCGAAGATGGACAGCGTCTGCAGTAAGTTGTTCTCCAGCCATTCCCAGTGTTCTGTTATCTCTTTGCGGGAAGAGCCTAGGGGAGGTTTGGTGAATAAAGAAGAGGGAAATCACATAATCACCAGGCCTTAAAGGGGAGCTCGGAGAATAAAGATGACCTGAAGTGCTATGTCCAAGTGACTACAATCTTCAAGCTGCTGACTCTTTTCCTCTTAGGCTTTACATACATTATATAACGAAAGTCATAAGTAGTCCTGGTGAAAATGAACACTAAAAAACAAATTCAGGCAGAATTGCAGCCACATGGAAAATAGAGCCTTCATTTCCCCTGAAGCTGAATGGGAACGACCACTGGTTTCCTATGTGTCCTCCCAGAAATGGTCTATGCATCTACAAATCTGCTCAGTTCTGAAGCTTGCTCTTTGAGATGAAAGAACGTATGTGGCCTTTGACACATAGGTGACTCCGCAGACATGGTTAGTCTTGGTATAAATGACTGCAGCTCCCCCTGAGAATTCAGGAGTCCACAGGTGGCAGCTGGAGCTTCCTGCAGGACTCCTCGCCCAGTTGGCCAGTCTCCTGCTGGGCAGGCCAGGCCAGGCCTGCAGTTCCCTTGTCTCTCCGAGGTCAGATGCACCCACCCAGGCCTTTGCCTGCAATGCTCAGCCCTCCCTTTCCAGCTCACACCCCAGCCCTGCTCTTGCCTCCTCCGAGCACCCATCTGAGCCCTTCAGCTTCCACTTGGCCTGACGTGTCTGCCTCGCCTGGGAGGTGGTGCTTGTCCTCTCCAGGGAGGGGCCCTGGAGGGCACCGCAGACCCAGCCCACATGGAAACACTGAGAAAGGCAGACTAGTGCCATCCCCAAAGGGTGGGGAAGCTGCCCTCTCTGTCCCCATCAGGGAACTGGGGGAAGGGGCCCCAGGAGAAGCAAAAGGATGAGGGAAGTGCCAACGTGGCCCGGCTTCCCCTGCCCCCGGCATGTGCCAGGCATGGAGCCTGCACTTAAACACTGTTTTCTGAGTGAATGAAGCCAAGAATAAGAAGAGGAGTGAAGGCCCTCCACCCTCCCAGCTGTCCTGGGGTCAGACAGTGTACGGGTCATGAGTGCCCAAGTGGCTCAGTTGACCTCGTGGTGTGGAGGAGCCTCGGCTAAGCCACAAGTCTAGCATTGCTGTGGACCACAGACAGGTTGCTGGGTGCCTGAGCCAAGTCATTCCATCCTTCCCCACCTGGAGAAACTCTTCCTCCACCAGCTGAACACTCAGCCCTCACCCTGCCCCGCCCAAGTTAGTGTCTCCCCCCCCCCCCCCCCCCAGGTACCTGCTCAATGCTCTTCACATGTCACAGCCCAGCTGACTTGGCTGGGGTTGATCTGTTTCTTTACATGTACCCCAGCAATTTAGCCCCTAACAAGCAATTCCAAGGAAGGACCCTCTCCATTGGCCTGTGTGAGGATGTCCGTGTGAAAACAATTAAACCGGGGCTTAGGGCTTAGATAACTCACAGTGAGTCACAACAGGCGGGCAGAATTACACTGGAGTACCCAGACATTACCATTCCTTTTTACCCCTTTTCTTTGCATTTTTTGCTATGGCCTCCTTTCCCTGTTGCATGGAGGCCAAGGTCTAGTTGGTAGGGGAAGGATTTCTCCCTGTCTTTTTGCCAAGGCCCACATTTGAATTTGGAAGTTAAATCTGCACATGATGCAACTCTACTGTATCATTTGCTTTTATGCATGTTCCTGAAAGTATAAAACCGAAGGAAATGTGTCTACATCGTCTCTATGAATCTGTCTGCACTTCAGTAATAAATATTTATGTATGTGCATTTGAAAGAATTATTAGTTAAAAGTAACACAATCTTCATTTAGTGCAAGTAAACACAAACTATGCCACCTCCATGCTTGGTAAAAGGAATATAAAAGCTAATTAATTAATCAGTGCTACTTCCGTTTTCAGAACTTTTTGTGGATTAACTCACTTAATTTTTAGAACACCTTGGAGATAGGTATCATTATTTTCATTTTATAGGATGAAGCTGAGGCACAGAGAGGTTAAGTTAGCTGCCCAGTGTCACACAGCTGGGAAATAACCAGACCATAACTCTAACCCAGGCTGCCCAGCTGCAGAGCTTCCCCTTGTCCTCAGGGAGCTGCTGATCTAGCAGGAGAGCCAGCAGCATGCCGTGTGCAAGTGCACACATGGCAGGTCCCAAGGAGAAGAAGGAAGAGTGGGTACATGGGCCTGGGGATTCTGGGAAGGTTTTCCACAGGGGGTGACATCAGAGTGGGAGGAGATTAGGTGGACACAGGGGGATGCTGTTCCCACAGTTCAGGACAAGTGCAGTTGGGAACTTCGGGTCCTGCCAGTGTCCGGTCTGGCTGACAGCCAGGTGTGAGCTGAAGGACGAGGGCAGAAATGCAGGAGGCAACCCTGGAATTCCTTCAGGGCCAGCTGAGCAGCTGGGACTCACCGCAAGTGCCAGCACAACCAGGTCTGGTTTGGGAGAGCTGAAGGGCAGGGGCTGGGCATGGGGCATGGGCAGAGGGGTGGAGGCTCCGGCAGAGGCCAGGGGGCTGGTAAAGGGGGACAGGTCAGCCTGTGTGGCCTGAGTTCCCAGCACTAGGCCCACTGCCACCAAAGGGGCTCCCACAGAGCCGGGCCACACTCCTCTCTCCCCACAGAGAAGCTGCTCGCACGGCCACGGCCCCCTCCCCACTCGCCCCCTGGGAAGGACACACTGAGACAGAGATGGAAACCTTGAGGGTCCGCTGAGAGCGAGGACCTCCCCTGCCCTGCTCAGGGAATCCCACCCCACAGGAGGCCCCTCTCCTGCGGGCAAGCCGGCCGCCCAGTGCACCACTCAGGCTCTGTAACCAGGAGAGCAGGGCTCCCACCGGCCGTCCAGGGTGGCCCTGGGCAAACAGCCTTTTCAGCCTGCCTTTACCCGTTCACACTGAGGGGGAGGACGCCTCTGTTAGGTACCTGGGAGGAAGATACCACCTGGCCTGGCACCCAGGCCAGGGGCACCTGGTCAGAGGGATTGTGCTGGCTGCTGTCCACCTGTGCCTCCAGCCCTGACCTCCCTCCTCTCCCGAAGCTGGCGTTCAGCTGTGAGCACCCTTGTTATCTTTTCTCAGGCCTCCAGGAAAGCCATTATCCTGGGGGACAGTGACACCGTGGCTGCTAGCACAGAGAGAGGTTTTCAGCACAGGGACATGAGGAGATACTCCTGGTTTGAACTGCAGTCTGCGTGGCCTTGGACAAGTTACTCAACCCCTCTGGGCCAGTTTCCTCATCTTCAAAATAGGGAAGACCAAAGTTCCGCCTTCTGCAGTTGTTGGGAGGTTCACCGAAGTGCCCGGCTGCAGGCAGCACCCCGAGTGCTGGCTATGACTGCCTTTAACCGGGTGACCCTAGCCAGGCACCCACTGGAAGGAGACTTTCCCCAGACTCTTAGGAAGGTGGGTGTGTGTCTTATAGGGCAGTGATTTTCAACCTTTTGCATCTCACGGCACACATAAACCTTCGGTGACACACCAAAAAGTGTTATATCGTTTGCTGATCTGACACAAAAAAAAAGGTATAATTTTGAGATTCATTTACACTGGATGGCTATTGTTGTGTTGGCTGTTGTCATTTGATGTTATTTGACAATCTAAGAAAAAGAGGCCAGTGCCCATGACTAAATGTCAGGAATTTCACGTTTTGAAAGTCCTTTCCGCACACCGGTTGAAAATCGCTGTCGAGGGTGGCAAGTGCAGCCGATTCTTGTTCCTTGCAGCAGTCCCGCCCACACAGTCTCCTAGAATACGGAACCCACCAGGCCACTCCCAGGGATCTATAGAGCCAAGTTCTTTGAAGCCTCTGGTCACATTTTCATCAACTGACCAATACATAACTTTGCTTTATGTGTTTTTTTTGTTTAAAAATTTGCATGTGAGTTCCCTAACACTGCACTCGGCCAACACACTGCGGCTCAGGCCTGCAGCAAGCTCCTCCAACGTGCACCCTGGCTCGTGGGGCACCCACAGCTTCCCACCCTGGGGAACAGCACACAGCACTTCATCACTACGCTTGGGGCCACTCTCAACAGCAAATCACCAAGAAAAAATGGGAAAAACAAGGTATTTAGACCAATGAAAGGACACTTGTTTGCAGTTTGAGAGCTGACACAGGAACGCAGAAGAACGCCTTGTTCCACCTCAGCTGGGAATCTGTGTTGGGTGACTCACATTTTTCGCTGCTCTGCACGTGGGTATTCCCAACCATGCCGCAGATGACTCAGCACTGCCAGGCCTGTGACCAGCAAAGCTGCCTTCCTAAGCAGGACACTGGCCTGGGCTGTGCTGTCTGAGTGAGGGGCAGTGCTGGGCTCCAGGGGGCAACACCCAGCCTAGGAACCCGGCCGTGTCCCCTCCCTTCTGGCCCCTCTCAGGGCAGGCCCTGCCCAGCACCCCCCGATCCAGGTCTCCTACCGCACGCCACTGTCCAGTAGACCTGTGAGTCCTGGGTCTGGTGCAGGATTCGATAGGGGGCCACGCGGGCGCTGGAGTCCAATACCACGTCCAGGGTGCCCACAAGAAGACCTGGGAGCAGGGAGAGAGGTGGAGAGTGAGGGAGGGTGGCGCTGAGAGCTGAGCCCGGCAGCCAGGACGGGACCTAGAGAAAGAAGCATCCTGCAGCATATCGCCTCTTCCATCAACTGACTCCCTTTTCCTCATGTCTGATTCCTGCCAAACAATCCCCCCCGCTTCTTCCTGGAAGCTGCTGCTGTCCTCCTGACGCAGACGCACCTGCAGGCAGGGGCACCACCAGCCTCTCCCCATATTCATATTATTTACTTTATACAGACCCACGATGCCCTGTCAAACACACCACACGGCTCTGAGCCCGGGCTGAGGCTCAGGTCGGAGCACCCACATGCAGGTTTTAGGAAGCCCACAGCTGAAACAATCTGGGATGCCCTCTCCAAGAAAAGCACAGCCAGCTTTTGTAAACAATACTTTAGAATGACAAAGTCCAACAGTTACAAATTAAAAACAAAAATAATACCACAAAATCTAGAAAAATTACACAATGTGTTTTATTCACTGCCAGACATCACTTGAGATACATTCCCACCCCACCCCGCCCCCGACACTTTTGGTGAACTCTGATGGCTTTTTCCATAAGACAGTGGCTTTGTAACATCATTCCCCTATCTCAACAGGAGGATAACATAGACTTTCCTCTGCCACAGGATCCTTTTTATGACGGAAAGTTTAAGGAAGTTCTCTGCAGCCTTCAAAGTCATGACTGAAAAGGACATGCAAATTTTTAGAAGTATCCAATTTGGGAAAACAGGATCTAGTTTGTTTTTTTCCCCCCTCATCTTTGAAGCATTTTAGGGCATTTCAAGTTTTCCTTCTCATCACATGTACCCTTCGTTGTCACTATTTCCCCAACAAATCAGAGGAAAGGTCTAACTTGATTCAGTCCTCTTCATTAACGGAATTATCAAGCTACCTAAAAATCTGTTCATTGTTCCTATTTAAAATTTACTTTTTCTTTTTTAAAAAAAACATTTTATTGATATTTTACAGAGAGGAAGAGAGAGGGATAGAGAGTTAGAAACATTGATGAGAGAGAAACATTGATTAGCTGCCTCCTGCACACCTCCTACTGGGAATGTGCCCGCAACCAAGGTACATGCCCTTGACCAGAATCGAACCTGGGACCCTTGAGTCCACAGGCTGACGCTCTATCCACTGAGCCAAACCAGTTAGGGCTACTTTTTCCCTTTAATGAAGTCCTGCTTTCGATATGATCTCAAAGTATTTTGTTATCATTTTCCTGTTGATGTCAGAATAATTTCTATCCATTTTATTCCTCAACTTTAACACTTTCGTTTCGTTTTCCATTTTAACCATATTTTCCCTTCCAGTCTTTAATAAATAAAATTACCAATTACAAAAGAAGGTACTCTTCACATACATCCAAGTCAGGAGTCTGTAATTTCTCACTGGTTTTATTGAAATGTCCTAAAATGCTTTTCTAAATTGCAGTTAAAACAGCATATTCACGCTATAAACTTTTTCTCATGATTGCTGTTGGGATTTCTCTTCCGGTCTTGGAAATTTCGTTTCATCCTTACACTGTTGGCAAGACCTGGAAGCTTTACAGTGGATGGGCCATCGGCTCTTCCCGAGTACGGTTGGCAGCTGCTTGTAAGACAGCTGGACTGAAACCACATCACTGTGTGCGCCTTTCCTGCCCATCCGCGTTCAGGAGGCCGCGGCGTCTGCGATGGCCCAGGGAAGGCCATGGCAGGACCTGCAAAACCTAGCCAGAGTGGGGAGTTCAAGACGCGGTTTCCTGGGGGGACCTGGGGAGCTGTCTTGGGGGACACAAAGGGGTAAAGGACGTAGGAAGGTCTTTCTCTGGGCAGGAAGGTGCCACGGGGGCCGCAGACCAAGCCTTTGCCAAGTGACCAGAACACGGTGTTCTGGGGAGCGAGCCAGGGTGCCCAGAGGGCCCCCGGCCACTGGCTGAGATCACCCACAGATACATCCGCACAGAACAAGGCTCCGAGCGGCTGGCGATCCGACACACTGTTCACGGCAACTCGGTGCTGGGCACTGGCTCCCCAATTTCCAACGCGGGCTTGCAGGAGCTGCCAAGGGTGCGCTCCCAGCCCCTCCAGAAGCTGCTGTCACCTCCCCGCGCGTCCTGGCAGGAGGCAGGCCCAGCACCTAGGAGGCAGGCCCAGCACCGCGCCCCCGCTGCGGGAGGGAGCAGTTTTCTTGGGAATGGTGCCGTCTCTCCGCATCAGGAGGGGCGCCCAGGCGAGGCTGGCAGCAGCGGGCAGCCTCTGCCCCCGGCAGGACTAGGTTCGAGAAGATTCTCAGGATCAACAGGAACATCTGGCAACTGTGGCGCACAGCCCTGCAGGGCAACGACAGGGCCCCTGCGCCCAGGCCCTGGTCCGGCCCGAGCCCGAGCCGGACCCAGCTCTGCCCTGGCCGGCGGCACAGGCCCCGGGCCCAGGGGCCGGACACCTGCAGAGGTGGACCCCACAGGCCGTGCTGCAGGAGCGCCTGCGGCGCAGCCTCATCCCGGGGAGCGGCGAGGCCACACGGCACAGACGCCCCCGCCTAGCTCCCCGGAGCGCGGCACACTGGCCACTTGGCAAAGGCTTGGTCTGCAGCTCCGATGCGCCAAGAACCAGGGAAGGTGGCAGGGAGGCGGGAGGGAGCGGGGAGGGCAGCCCGCAGCTCGCGGAGCCGCTGATCTCGCTAAGGGGCCGTTCCTTGGCGAGCTGGCCCTCGGGGAAACTGAGGCGGGGGAGAGACCGGGAGGTCCGGCTGCACCCACTTGGCGGAGCCCCGGGAAGCCGCCGGCACCGAGCGCGGGCAGAGGCCGCCGCCAGCCTCCCGGTGGACCGGCTCCCAACCCGCCTCCGAGTGCCGCGCCTCGGTCTCCTCCCGCCCCGCCGCGCCGCGTCCTCACTCCGCCCCTCGCCGGCTCCCCACAGCTGGCAGCCCTCGCCCCGCCACCCCGGCCCCCGCCTCCCGGCCCGCCGGGCTCGGCCTCGCGCCCGTGCCCGCCGCGCGCGCTGACGTGCGCGTCCGCGACGACGCGCCGAGGCCGGGCCTGTCGGGGCAGGTCGTCCGGCCCCGCCACCCGGCGCGCCCTTCCCGCCGGGCTGCTGCGCTCTCTCACCCGTGAGGCCGCCGCCCCTGCCGTGGCCCCGGCGCCGCTGCAGCACGAAGAAGGGGTTGGCCCGTTCCGTCACCCACAGCGCGTTGGCCACCAGCACTTCCTCGGGGCCCAGCCACATCTTGCGGCCACTCGCACCGGCCCGGCCCGCCAGGCGGAAGCGCTGCCGCCGTCGCCGCCGCTCCGGGGCCGAGCGAGAGGGCGGGGCGAGCGGCGCCCCCTGGCGGGCGGCCTGACCGCAGGACGCCGGCGCCGGCTCTCCCAGGCGGCCCAGTCCATGCAGGCCCCGCCCACTCAAGCACGGCCCGCTCGGCCCCGCCCCACCCACAAAGGCCACGCCCTACGCCCGCCCCAGCCACCCACAAAGGCCCCGCCGCGCAGGCCCCGCCCCACGCCCCGCCGCTCCGCGATGTATGCCTCCCCTTCCCCGGCGGCCCCAGCGCTGTAGCTTTATCCGCCAGGAACGGCCCAGCCCCGCGGTCACGGGGTCTGCCTGGGGTGGCCGAGCACACAGGCCAAGAGGAACTGGCTGTGCAGGGAGGAGCTGGTTGTGCAGAGGGCAGAAAACCTGCCCAGGGTCTGGGGGGAAATGTAAAGAGCGTTTGGAGGTACACCTTGGCTGATTGGGCAGTGCGGCCAGTGAGTGCTAACGTTGCAAAGGGCAGCTGGAAAGGGTTAGGCAGTTCTAATAATTCTCTGAATTTGGACACTCGGGCCTGAGACTAAGAGGACCTCTAGGAGCCGGGGACAGGTTTCAGGAAGCCCCGAGGCTGGCAGGATCCTAAGGCTGGGTGGCCCTGGGGCCAGCGGAGGTTTCTGCACGGGCACCGGCGGGCATCACCAGCACCGGGCACTGGGATGCGGGTCTCCAGTGCTGGCCTGTAGGAGTCCACCCCTCACAGTCCCAGCACTGACTCTTGAGTGAAGCTGGTAACTCCGTCTGGGACAATATGCAGAGTGTCCTGGGCCAACCAACGGATGCAGGCTCACCCTGCTGGCCTGCCAGGGCCCGGGAGGAGGGCAGAATCACCCTGGGAAGCTTAATTTAAGTTACTTTCCAATTGGGGTTCTGTCACTGGCATTCAATAATGGAATATGGTAGATGTCGATATAAACAGGTGTTTTCATGGTTGACGGCCAAAGCGATCAAAAGTCTTCTGAAATGTTGCCTGACTCTGAATCTACATTCCAGATGTAGAGGCTGGTTCTCTCTAAACCTTGGAAACTTAAATTGATAAGGTGTCCTTGTGATCTCAATAATTTGGAGGAACTGGTTAACACCCGGAGAGGAGGTGAGGATTATTTGGTTTCTTCACTCCAGAGGTTCTCAAACCTGGGCTGCATCGGAATCACCTGCAGCGCTTGTCAAAAGGTGGATTGCTGGGCCCCACCTGGAGTATTTGTTTTTCTAACAAGTTCTAATGATGTTGATGCTGCTGACCTGGAGACCACCTTTTGAGAACTCTTCTTTATAAGATACTAGAGGCCCAGTGCATGAAATTTGTCCCTCAGCCCAGCCTGCACTCTCTCACAACCTGGGACCACTGGCTCCTAACCGCTTACCTGCCTGCCTGCCTGATCACCCCTAATTGCCTCTGCCTGCCTGATCATCCCTAACCCCTCTGCCTGCCTGCCTGCCTGATTGCCCATAACCACCTCTGCCTCGGCCCCCATCACCATGGCTTTGTCCAGAAGGACGTCTGGAAGATCTCTGGTCTAATTAGCATATAACCCTTTTATTAGTATAGATAATTCACACCCCATTAAAACTCACCCTTTTAAATCACACAATGCAGTGACTATTAGTATATTCACAAAGCTGTACAACCATCACCACTATCTAATCCAGAACATTTTTATTACTTCAAAAGAGAAACCTCTTAGCCATTAACAGTCACTCCCCACTCCCCACCTCCCTCCACTCCTGGCAACACTAACCCATTTCTATCCCTATAGATTTGCTCACACTGGACATTTCATGTAAATAAAACCACTTAATATGTGGCCTTTGTGTGTGAATTCTTTTAGTTACTATCACCTGTTCAAGGTTCATGCAGGCTCTAGCATGTCAGTGCTTCATTCTGCTTCATGGCTGAATCCCAGTCCATTGTGTGGATAGGCCACATTGCTGATCTGTTCATCAGTTGGACATTTGTGTTGTTTCCCCTTTTGGCTACGGTGAATGACCATGCTGTAAACAGCTGTGTACAAGTTTTCATGGAGACATGTTTCAGTTCTCTTGGGCAGGTCCCTAGGAGCGGAATTGTTCAGTCATATAGCAAGGTCATGTTTATCTTTTTTTAAAAATATATATATTTTATTGATTTTTTACAGAGAGGAAGGGAGAGGGATAGAGAGCTAGAAACATCGATGAGAGAGAAACATTGATCAGCTGCTTCCTGCTACTGGGGATGTGCCCACAACCAAGGTACATGCCCTTGACCGGAATCAAACCTGGGACCCTTGAATCCGCAGGCCGACGCTCTATCCACTGAGCCAAACTGGTTAGGGCCATGTTTATCTTTTTGAGGAACCACCAAACTGTCCTTCAAAGCAGCCATACCATTTCCCATTGGCACCAGAGATCTGTGAGGGTTGCAGTTTCTCTATCTCAACATTTGCTATTGCCTATCTTTGTTATTATAGCCATCCTAGTGGGTCTGAAGTGGCATCTCATGTGGTTTGGGTTTGCAGTTTTGTAATGACTTATGATATGGAGTATCTTTGTTTTTTTAATAACATGTTTTTATTGATTCCAGAGAGAGGAAAGGAGATGGAGAGAGAGAGATAGAAACATCAGTGATGGGAGAGAATCACTGATCGCCTGCCTCCTGCATGCCCCCAACTGAGGATCGAACCTGAAACCTAGGCACGTGCCCTGACCGGAATCGAACCATGATCTCCTGGTTCATAGGCTGACGCTCAGCCACTGAGCCACACTGGCTGGGCTGGAGAGTCTTTTCGTGTACTTGATGGTCATTTGTGTTTCTTCTTTGGGGAAATGTCTATTCACATCCTTTGCCCATTTTATTTTATTTTATTTTATTATGTTTGAATCCTCACCCGAGGATATTTTCCCCGTTTATTTTTAGAGAGGATGAAAGGGAAGGAGGAGGGGGAGAAAGAGAGAGAAACATTGATGTAAGAGAGACACATTGATTGGTTGACTCCCACATATGCTCCAGCTGGGGCTGGGGATGGAACCTGCAACTGAGGTACGTGCCCTAGATCAGGAATCGAACCCATGACCCTGTAGTCCGTGGGCTGATGCTTTAATCACTGAGTCAAACCAGCCAGGGCCTTTGTCCATTTTAAATTGGGTTGCCCTGCTCTGTTAAAGCGTGTTTTAAAATAGCAGTTGTTTTCAGAGAAGTATGGATGGGTGCAGATTTTTAGAAATGGCAACATGTTCGAGGTGTGCGTGTGCTGCTGTGTCCTCCTCGCTTGACTGGCGGTTACAGATGCAGAGTGGGGACCAAGCAGACGTGTTGGCCTTGGGGTTTCTGGAAGATTATCTGTGGTCTAGGCAGCCTGCTTCCCAGTCTGTGCTCCCTCCACCCTCCCTGCCTGCGCTGGTGCTCAGAGGCTCAGCTGCCCTGAGGACACAAGGATAGGGAGGGACGGTGGGGCCAGGTATATCTTTTGTGGACATTATTTGAAACTTGTGTATCCGCATTAGTTCTCTTTCTTCCCTCTGGCCTTGGTGTTCTAAGCACTTACCTCCGTCCCTGCACCTGGAAGGGCTCCAGGGAGGGGAGCTGCCCCAGATCTGCCCGATTCCTGCCTGTGCCCTGACCCCTGACCTGGAATCGAACCGTGACCTCCTGGCTCACAGGTTGACGCCCAGCAGGAGGTCCGTGGTAGCCGTGCTTATTTGAATTGATCTTGTTAGGAACAAAATATTACATTAAATTTCCTTTTTATAAAGTTCCCAATCCAGCTATTAAATTCAGGAAAATGGTTGTTTCCTAACAATCACTTCTATGTAGGTGTTCCTATCCTTACCCAGTGGGTCTGACACTAAGGACTCATAGGTTGCCGGGAGCTGGTCCATCCTTGCTGTTTCAAGGGACCTGGCATATATGGCATACTGTTCTTAATATGTTTGCTCACCTTCTTGGCACTATGTGTTTTAACCAAGGTCACCTCTCTGAGAAAGGTTGTTTCCCCAGGTAGGGATTTTCCCCTGAAGTTAGGGAGGGAATAAAACCCCTTAACTAAGTGCCAGGCGGGTAATTACTCACTAACTACGAACAATCATGCTTAAACTACATAATCTTTACTCCCTGGAATGGAGATAAGAAACGCCCTAACCTTTGGAATAGAGATTGATAGGATTGGAATCAACTGGTATAAATACAGATGTAACAAGACAACAGGACACAGAACCTAGAGACAGAACCTAGCGAGAGAACATGGCAAAAGATCCTGGACAGAAACTGGCCACAGGAGACAGAACCTGGCTACAGAACCTGGATAGAACATGGCAAGAGAACCTGACTAGAACCTGGCGACTGAACCTGGCTGGAGAACCTGGACAGAATCTGGCTGGAGAACCTAGCGAGGGAACATGGCTACAGAACCTGACTGGAGAACCTGGAGAACCTAGCAAGAGAACATGGACACAGAACCTGGCCGGAGATCCTAACCAGAACTTCGCTGGAGATCCTGAACAGATCTTCGCTGGAGATCCTGAACAGAACTTGGCTAGAGATCCTGGCTAGGCTGCTGATCAACTGAACGCTGTCTCCGTGTCATTCCTTCTTCGCCGACTCCGTCCACACCTTTGGGGACCCCTGGACCTGCTGGGGTTGGACCCCAGCAATAGGTGACCCCTCCACTCCCATCCGTGTATTTAAAATGACCGGAATTTCTGAAATGTTGGCCGCCACTTCACGCTTCTCAGTGAAATGGTGGACGGTCGCTCTTCTGATGTGTGGAGTGAGTTCCAAGCTGTGTAGATGCTGGGATAATGGGGTCAGGTCCTGGCCCAGTGGCAGCCTGAGGACTGAGCGGCCAGGCCTCGCTCTGGCCCACACAGCCCTTCTCCTGTCAGGCGCTAGAATGTCCCAGGACTATATACCCAAGCTTTTGTGGGTTAGGCCTGGTGTGTATGCTTTGACTGTGTAAAATTGCCGGGGTGGGCTGTGTGTGTGTGTGTGTGTTAATAATTGAAGTGATTGTTATAACCAAAAACTAAAATTGTAGGGAAAATATTCTGATGATCGTACTGTGCTGTTTGAGGAACTGTTTGGCTCTTCCCTTCTTTCATGGCTTGTAGTCTT